GTTAGCATGGGATATGAAAAAGAAAATCAGTTCGGTAATGAGGAAATTGTATAATTACCACAACGATTATGTCTAGCATGTGTAAGAAACACAAAGTGATTAGAATGATCACCGAGCTTAGTTATTGATGATAAAGTGATCACAGAAAAGCTGTAAAATTATGCCTTTTTATGTGTTATGAGGGTAGTGCCATTGCACGGGACTCTAAAATTTAGAGTACATGTCAAAGACTTAGTTCACAATAATTCTATAAGTGTTTTCAGGAAGTATCTTAAAAATATAATCAAGTATGGGAAGTATAACTCATGATTGAGGTAGATAAGAGAACTCTGGTGAAAGAAGTTCACCAGCCAAGATAGGAGTTCGACTTCGGACTCTGAAGATGACGGAGTTGTTGTTTAGAACATGACTTGTCCCCCCTTAGTAGCCGAAGAGAAGGAGAACAATTTGATGATCCCTACGTGTTGCAGTTGAAGAGGAGATTCACAAGTATAAAACGATGGCTTTTGAATAAGGGGGAGATGATGGTACTTTGAGGTACCAAGACAGATTGTGTGTTCCAGACATAGATAGACTTAAAAAGGGAAGATCATGTTAGAATCCTATAATTCACGGTGTTCTTTCCATCTAGGTTCCCCAAATATGCATCATGACCAAGGAGATTGATTGGTTGAACGACATGAAAAAGAACGTCGCAGACTTGCAGCCAATTGTCTGAATTGTCAGCAAGTGAAAGTCGAGCAGCAGAAAGCCTAGTGTTTTATCACATAATACACATATTTTGAGTGGACATGGTAAATATGAAATTTATAACGGGATTATCTTTCTCATTTTAAAAGCATGATTTGATTGGATGATTGTAAATCGACTTACCAAGTCAGCACATTTCTTGCCAGTAAAGACTACAGATTCAACAGAAGAATATACCAAGTTATACATTCAGGAAATCGTCTAATTGCATGGGACTCCGTGGTCCGTCATTTGGGACTGTGGTGCTCAGTTTAAAATGAACTTTTAGAAGTTCTTTCAGAAAGGATTAGGCACAAGTTTTTCATCCTCAGAAAGATGGCCAGGCAGAGCGCATTATTCAAACAGTTGAGGATATGTCCTTGATGTTAAAAGTAATTGGGATGATCACATACCTCTCATTGACCTTGCTAATAATAACACCTACCATTATAGTATCAAGATAGCACTGTGAGAGACTCTGTATGGGAGAATGTGTAGATCGCCAATTGGTTGGTTCAAAGTTGGTGAAGAGGAGTTGTTGGGACCAAATTTGGTCTATCAGACTATAGAGAAAGTTAAGTTGATTCAAGAGCGTTTGAAGACGACTCTGAGCCGCCAAAAGTCCTATTCGAATGTGCGGCATAGAGACCTAGAGTTTCAAGTTGATGATTGGGTGTTTCTAAAAGTTTCGCCTATGAAAGGAGTTATGAGATTTGGGAAGAAGGGGAAGCATAATTCCTGCCATATTGGGCCATATAAAATCTTGCAAAGGATCGGTCAATTAGCTTATGAGTTGGAGTCGCCACCAGAATTTGTGGCTATACAGCCACGACTTCACGTGTCATGTTATAACATTCATGTTTCCAGTACTCAGATACTCATGTCAGTTCAATACTCAGATACTCATGTCAGTTTAATACTCAGCTACTCATGTCAGTCCAATACTTAGATATTCATGCCAGCTTAGTACTCTGATATTGGTGTTAGTTCAATTCTCAAATATTCGTGCCAGTTCAATATTCATATATCCATGTTATTTCAGTATTCATGTATCTATGGAAGACTAATATTTAGTTAATGCAGTAGCCATTCAGTTCAGTATCTCAACAGTTCAGTAATCATGTATTCATTCAGTTTAGTATGCAAGTGTTAATGAAAGTTCATGTTTCCACCAGACCCGTTTAAGGTCCGGATTTAGCAAAAGTTACAGTCAGGACAATCATTCGAGGACGAATGATCCCAAGGGGGAGATGATGTAACACCCCGTACATTCGGACTAGGTGTGAATATGTTAAATGGGTATTTATTTGATATTTTAGACATATGAAGTCCCATCGGGATGATTATGGGTGAAAATAGTTGTTTCAAAATCAAGATGGAAAGTGAGGTGCATAAGATTTGACAAAATCGACTAAGTTTGCAGAAGGTCTACATTCCAGCAGGGTTTAGTCAAAATTTGTAAGGAATTTGGGAAAACTCAAAGCATGAAAGTTGTATACCTTTGAAATATATTTCCAACGATATATTATGGAGCCCAAACGGATCTCCGTGCAAAGAGTTATGCACGTTTTACATAACAGTGTGCAATATGTGCGCCCTGAGCGCGCCCCGAGCGCGGCTGCGCTTCTTTTGAGGTAGTGTTACTGCCATTTTGCACTGTCAGTAGCGCGGTCAGGCCTACAGGTGCGCGGGCGCGCTCATGGGGGGTCATTTTAAAGCCATACTTCGTCCTCCATAGCCCCAAAACATAAAAACTTGCTCTAGAAAGGGGAACTCTCAAAAACCTAACTCCTTAAGGGTCCCTCCACCACCCAAGGTAAGTTCTAATGCTGATTCTAAGTTAATTTTAATTTTCCAACATCTTATTAACATGGGTAAACCCTCCATATCATTAGATATTCGATTGGGACATCATTGTTAAGAAAAGGTAGCCTAGAACTCGAATTCAAAGGGTTTGAACTTCAAAAAGGTAATGTCTTCACCCTCTAATTGATTCTAGCATTGGTTTAATGATTATAAAACCTAGCTCATGAGATATGAGTTGATGGGTTTGATATAAAAGCATGAACCATTATAGGTTTGGGATGTTGATTGTTGACTATTGGTTAAGGGTGTTGTTTACCTTATGGGTGATAAAGAATAATGTTGATTATAACCATTTGAGACTTTAGAATTTATCTAGGATCAAGAGAATGGCTTGTTGGGTGTAGAAACACCATTAATAAGGACTATGAAGCTTTATGTCCCCAAGTGTTTGAGAAAATGCTTAAGTGATCAAAATATGAGAATTATTACTAATATGGAATCCCTTTGACTTGTATTGATATAGATTAAAGTTGAAAGGGTTGGCGAATGTTGTATTACGCTCAAAAGCAGGGAGTTAAGGTATGTGAGGCTAACTCTCTATGTTTGGGAATTTTAATGATTCTCCCTACACTACATTTTTTTTACGAAGTTACAAATTGCCTCAGAAATATAGTTAAGCCTAGTTCCTTGAATAGTTGTAGAACTTATATTCTCTAGCTTCATAACTCGTTCACCACTTTCATTCTGAACGTTGTGAGCTCAGTGCATATTCAATATAGACTTGGGTTGGATGCCCCCGAGTCTTAATATAGATTACTCAGTATGCCATAAACAGTTAAAGTTTCAGTGTTCATAATCAGTTCAAGAATACATGTATCAGTCTAGTCCTATTCAGTATTCCAGTATTATGTAACTCAGTGTGATCCAGTATTCCAGTATCATGTAACTCAGTGTGATTCAGTATCTCACTATCATGTATTGCAGTTTGATTCTCAGTTCCTGAATGTTGAACACCTGTATTTGGGCCTGAGGTCGTAGTTTATATGATTTATGCATACTTGGGCTTGAGGCCGTAGTTTATGCTTTATGCAAGTTTGGCCCTGAGGCCGTAGTTTATGCTTTATGCAAGTTTGGGCCTGAGGCCGTAGTTTATGCTTTATGCATTTTTGGGCCTGAGGCTGTAGTTATGTATACGTATACTTGGGCCTGAGGCCGTAGCTTGTGCACATAAATATTGAGCCCGAGGCCGTAGCTTATTCAGATAAACAGGTTGTTCATCATTCAGAAGAGGGAGTATTCATATCCTTACTTCCTTTGTTCAGTTCAGTTATCAGTTATCATTTCAGTTATCAGTTATCAGTTATCAGTTCAGTTATCAGTTATCAGTTATCAGTTTCAGTTTCAATAGTTATCATTTCAGTTATCAATTATCAATTCTGAATTATTAGTTTAGTTTCAGTTTCAGCATTTATAATTCTTTCTTTCAGTTGCTTTACATACCAGTGCAATTTAAATGTACTGACATCCCTTTTGCCCGGGGCCTGCATCTTACGATGCAGGTAATGATTTACAGGTTGACGATTCAGAGCACTAGGATTCTCATACCAGCTATTTGGTGATCCCCAGTTCTTTCGGGGCATTATCATTACCTTACAGTCTTCAGTCTTTTCAGACAGTCAGTATTTTCAGTGCTTCATTAGAGGCTTCATAGACTAGAGTAACAGTTAGACAGAGTCTCAGGCATTTCATGTTAAGCTATGTTGGCTGCAAATATGTTTCAGAATTATATTAGTATTTCCGCACTTTGATTTATATTATCCAGACTTTCAGTATATCAGCATGTGTTAGTTTATCTTCCGCATTCAGTATATTATGATATCACATGTTGATTCAGCCAGCTAGTTGGTTCGCTCGGTCACATGTAGTCAGGCACCGAGTGCCGTGTTACGTCCAGGCCCGGGTTCGGGGCGTGACAGGAAGTCCAGTATATTATGTTGGAACTCCAGTATATTATGCTGGAATATTTTTGGATTTTGAACCGTATTTTCGTTCAGTTTTATCTTTACATGTAAAACGGCTAAATTTCGATTACTTTTGAAACTATGGCTATTTTTCAATTAACACTCGTAAATCTGGCTGTTTTTGAATTTTACCCATTCGTCTCTTCCAAGAAGTGGGTTTTGGATTACTAATAACTAAACTAAAGTCGGAAATTCCATTAAGACAATTTTTACCATTATGCTTGCTCAGTGATATATAGCTTAATTAAAAGATAAACAAAAGGCACCAGACTGGACAAAACAAAACCTCTTCCTCCCCCTGAATTTCCTTATCCTATAAATGACGGCAATGTTGTTCTAAGTTGACGTCCAACAACTTCCCCTGCCCTACGCGAACTTTATTCTTTGGAATATTGACCTTCGAGGAAAGGTAGAGTCTTATCCCCTTCCCTTAAATTAATTTCCACAAGTATTCTCTTAGTCTTTGTTTATGAAGATAATATATATAATATTATCTTTCTGAAGTAATAATCTATATACTTGGTGTATAATTTTTGACTGATGAAAATGGCATTCTTTTCAAACATGAAGATAAACAAAGGAGAAGTAATCTGGGAGACGATGAAACAAATAAGGGAATTACTGATGCTTCTTCTACTAGCCTCGTGTTCAAAATTAACAGCAAGTACTACGGTATGGATGCCGATGTGGCAACAGAAGTACATAGAAGAGAAAGCTGATAGCTATTGTTTGAGCTGGAGATTGGGTGTGGAAACTAACAACATACGTGCATGGCGAACTGTACCAACTCATTGTCTGCGTTATGTTGAAAATTATATGATGAGGGGGCAATATGAACGTGATGTTGAATTAATCATTGATCATGTTATGGATTATGTGAATGACGATGTTGTTCTTTCTAACGATGGCCTTGACGCTTGGATCTTAGATGTTGATGATACTTGTCTCTCCAATCTTTTTTATTACCAAGGGAAGCGATTCGGGTAAGTGAAATTTCGATCCGTTTTGTTCTAGATGGATCTTGTTCTTTGGGTCTTTGATTTTTGTGCGTGATACCATGTTCTAGTCATGTTAGCACGTTTACTTTTAAGTCCGAATGTGGCGTAGCTATTACTGTTATCTGTTCTTTGATTTTCATGGATTTTGATATGTAGCATCAATGTAATGTAGGGTTGATCCATACGATCCAAAGGGATTTCACGAATGGGCATCAAAAGGAGTTTGCCCAGCAATACCTGCTGTACTGAGATTGTACAACAAATTGATTGAAAGTGGATTTAGAGTATTCCTTGTAACTGGTAGAAGTGAATCCACACTTGGACAAGCCACCCTTTACAATCTCCACAACCAAGGATTTCTTGGCTATGAACGTCTAACTTTAAGGTATCGTCTACTGTATTATTGTTGTTCATGTTGAATTTCAATGATATATTTAAGTTGAATATGTAAGAGAAACGTTCTTATGATTTTCATGAAATTGCAGGGAAGATCAGTACGAAGGAATGAGTTCAATTGTTTACAAGTCAGAGATAAGGAAAAAGTTGGTAGGAGAGGGGTACAGGATATGGGGCAACGTAGGAGATCAATGGAGTGATCTTCAAGGAGAGTATATAGGCAATCGAACATTTAAGCTTCCCAATCCCATGTACTTTGTCCCTTAGAAAAATCGAAATGTAATTAATGTGTGAAAGCATGGTCTATTGACATAAAAATAATAATGGATATTTCATTTATGCTATATATAACGAGGCTATGGTAACCAGTCACAAGTATTGGTAATACGTTCATTTACATTTGGAATTGTGATGACCCGATAGGTCATTTAGAGTTTTAAACCTTAATTCTGTGTTTCGAAGCCTCCAATAGCTTCTTTAAGCCTTCCTCGATATTGCATGCGCAATCCGGACATTTTTCCGGAAGGCTTTTATGTTAAAAATTTGATAAAATATGAAATTTTTCCTTAAAAATCCATCTGAGTTGACTTCGGTCAACGTTTTGAGCAAACTAACACGGATCCGTATTTTGACGGTCCCGGTGAGTCCGTATCGTGATTTGAGATCTGGACGTATGCCCGGAATCGAATTCAGAAGTTCCTAGCCCGATTATCGCTTTTTTGTCGAAAATTTGAAAAGTTTAAAGGTTTAATGAATTTAAAGATTTGACCAATGTTTGACTTTGTTGATACCGGGTCCGTATTTTGGTTCCGCCATTTGGTGTAGGTCCATTACTATATTTATGACTTGTCTGCCAAAATTGGTGAGAAACGGAGTTGGTTTGACGTGATTCGGACGTCCGGTTGTTAAAATAGAAATTCTAAAGTTTCATTGAATTTTTTTTTGATTTGGTCTCCGATTCGTAGTTCTAGGTGTTATTTTGGTGTTTTGAACACACGAGCGATTTCATATTATATTTTTGGACTTGTGTGCATAGTTGGTTTGGAGCCCCGAGGGATCGGATGACACTACTAGAAATCAGGGAATTAAGCGACCAAAGTTGGTCGCTAATGTGGAGAAAAGTATTAAATAATTATTTTAAATAATTTACCGACCAAGGTTGGTCGCTTTTTGGCCAGTAAAGCGGTCAACATGTTGACCGGGCTGGTCAGACTTGCTTGGTCAAAGAAATATTGAAATTAGTGACCAACTTTGTCGCTAATGTGGGACCCAGCTTATAAGTTGTAGTAATTATATTATTATTAAAATAATTTTATGAAATATAAATAAATTTATTTAAAATTGGCGACCAAAGTTGGTCGGTTATGAAAGGGGAAGCAAGTAGCGACCAACTTTGGTCGCTAATTTGGGACCCAGTTATAACGTTTTAATGATTATATTATTATTTAAAATTTTTTATAAAATATAAATAAATCTTATTTCAAAATTTGCGACCACTTTGGTCGCTAAGTTTAATTTCTGGATAATTACCGACTAATGTTGGTCTCTTTTCAGGTCAACATTGGTCAAAATTAAAAATCACTTATATATATATATATATATATATATATATATATATAAGAACATGAAGCGCTAGGAACACAGGGTCGGGTTCTTTTAGGGATTGATACACTTGTAAATTGATTCATCAACTTATAACCTACTCAGATGCATCGTTGAATATTAAAAACAAAACGTCTTGACTTATATCAATTAATCTGTTATAATTGATGCATCGACTTATAACCTAGTGATGAATGAATGTAATTCATATGCTCTGTTATAATATAAATAATGAGTACAATTATATCAATTAATAGAATAATTAGTTTATGCATACGTAGTAATGTATACGATTGATCATCAATTATAATATAGTTATGCGTGTGTATGAAATTACTCATATACTTAAATATAACTTAAAAAATTCGTTTACATAGATGCTATTATAATCTATTAAAAGTAATTACCTAGTTAATATAATTTTTTTTAAAGATTATGCTTGTAGTTTATAATTATTTATAATAATTATAGTTAAATAAAATAAATATTTATAGCTCAATAATATTTTTTCTTATAGCTTATAATATTTAAAACCAAAAAGAAAAAATATATATTTAATTTTTTTTTTAGAAAATAGCGACCAACGTTGGTCGCTATTTTGGTCAAACGGTCAAACCTAATTACCAACCAAAAATAGTAACCAACGTTGGTCGCTTTTTCTAATAACAGAGTCAAAAACGGTTCCCTTCCCCCCCCCCCCCCTCCATTTTCTCTTATTTTCTTCCCAAAAATTTCCCCAACTCTCTCTCAACACCTTCTCCTCCCTTCTCTATTCCCTACACAAATCCCATTCCCCCACCCCGCGCCACCACTGCCGTCACCGACACCGCCGTGCCACTACTGCCGCCGCCACCAGCTTCTGCCCCCCCCCCCCTCTCCTTCTCCACCTAAAAATACCTAGGTTTGAATTGTACCTTGAATCTTTGTTATTTTTAGTTTTTGTTTCAATTATTTCAATATTGTAGTTTATTGTTTCAATTAGTGTTTCAATTTTTTGAGCATTGTATTTTATTGAGGATTAGGGTTTAGGTCTTGTTTTAATTAGTTTTGTTAATTAATTTTATTTACTAATTTAGTTTAATTAGTGTTGAATTTAGTTTAGTTGGATTTGAATATATACATTTGTATTGTTTTGATAGTTTAGTTAGAATCTAAGGTTAGGATATGAATTGACCTTTAGGATATGAGATTGGACTTTTAGTTTATGAATTGAACTTTTAGTTATATAATTGAAATTTAGGATATGAATTGAACTTTTAGGATATGATTTAACTTTTAGCTTATGTATTGGAATTTTAGTTTATTGATTTGAACTTTTAATTTATGAATTGAACTTTTTGGATATGAATTGAACTTTTAGGTTATAAATTGAAATTTTAGTTTATAAATTGAGTATTTTAGGATATGAATTGGACTTTTAATTTATGAATTGGACCTTTTGGATATGAATTGAAATTTTAGTGTATGAATTGAACTTTTTGGATACGAATTGAACTTTTAGTTTATGAATTGAACTTTTAGTTTATAACTTGAACTTTTAGTTTATAAATTGAAAATTTAGGATATGAAATTAATTAACTAAAAAAGATTAGGATATGAATTAACTAAATTAATTTGTTCTTGTTTTATTTGTATAGATGGAACATCGTACTTGGATGTACAATAGGAATATCCTAATCGGCGGGGATTGCGGGAGGATTTTGTAGAAGGGTGGATGACTTTATTAGACATGCAATGTCACTTCTCGTCCTCGACAAGTAGATCCTTCTGTATACCGTCTTGTTGATGAAAATTCATCAGACGATGATGATAATGATGTTGTACAAAACACTCCTTGACTTTTATATACTTTGAACTAGACAAATAGAATCGGTTTTGAACTAGTTATAATAAGCGTTAACTTAGTATTGTTAGTTTAATTTGTTAGTTCTATTGAACTTTAATTTGTTGGTTTTAATGTGTTTTTTGAATTGTGTTGTTGTTGTTGTGTAGTTATTGTTGTTGTTGTTGTTGTTATTGTTGTGTTGTTGTTGTTGTTGTTGTTGTTGTTGTTGTGTTGTTGTTGTTGGGTTGTTGTGGAGATTTTGGTATTGAAATTGTAGTTTATGAATTGAATTATATTGTTATTTAGGGACTTTGGTATGCTGGCAGGTGGTGTAGCTACCAAAATAGGCATTTTATGCCAAAATTATTACCCAGAAAAGCGACCAAAGTTGGTCGCTAACCTATTAAAAAAAAATCTGGCAATTAGCGACCAAGGTTGGTCGCTTTTACCTAAAAAAATATTAAAAAATTAAAATTTGGCGAAGAAGGTTGGTTGCTAATGAACCCAGATTTTATTAATAAAAAAAATCCTGGAAATTAGCGACCAAGGTTGGTCGCTTATATATAAAAAAAAATTAAAAATTAAAAATAAGTGACCAAAGTTGGTCGCTTATGAACCCAGATTGTTAAATATATATTTTTTTATAATAATATATATTTTAATTTACAGACCAAAGTTGGAAGCTAATTGTTGAATTATAATAATTAAAAAAATATCGTAATTTTAATATACAGACCAACGTTGGTCGCTAAATTTATATTATTAAAATATTCTACCGTCCAAAGTTGGTCGGTATTTTATTTACACTGAACATTTGGTCATTTTACCTTAGCGACCAAAGTTGGTCGCTAAGGTAAAGGGACCACCAATATAGCGGCCAAGCCTGTTTGGACGCGTTTTGGTCGCTATATTGAGATAAGCGACCAACGTTGGTCGCTATATGTGGTCAATTTTTACCAAATTTCTAGTAGTGTGAGTTTCGAATAGGCTACAGATGGTTGTAACTTAAACTTCTGCTAGTTTTTGGTATTTTCTTCTTCACGATCGCGAAGGTACTCCCACGATCGCGAAGGGTAAACTGGACTGGGGGAGGATTTTGTTCTACGTGAACGCGAGACCATGGTCGCAACGTGGAGCATTGGGGGGCCTGCTCTTCGCGAACGCGACCAGTCAATCGCGAACACGTAGCTTTGTGAGGTGGGGGCTGGGAACTGACCATTACTCTTCACGAACGCGGCACTAGGCTCGCGAACACGTAGGCGGGTGGGTGTAAGCCTTCTCGGACGCGAAGGGTATCTCGTGAACGCGTAGGCTATATGAGTTCCTACTTCGCGATCGCGTCAGGCCCTTCGCGAACGCGAAGAAGGCCTGACAACCAGTGATTTAAATGTTCAAAAAACGGGATTTCTCTCATTTTTCATAACTCTCCATTAGAGCACGGCCAAGAGGCGATTTTGAAGAGAAAACTCAATATCAATTCATAGGTTTGTACGCTTTAACTCATTTTCTTCCATTTCTAACATCACCCATTAATTTCTAGCCCTAATCTTTGTTCTTCCATGGTAGAAAACTAGGATTTAGGAAGAATTTGTTTTTTTTTTGCAAATTAGGGATTTAGACCTCTATTTGAGGTCGGATTCCGAAACTAAATACATAATCGGGCTCGGGGGTTAAAGGGTTTTGGTCCGAACCTCAAATTTTGACCAAGCGGGTCGGGAGTCGATTTTTAGACTTTTTTGGAAAACGTGTAAAAAACCTAAATTTATGCATTGTAATTGATTCCTTTAGCAATATTTGACATTGTTGAGTCAATTGTGGTTAGCTACGAGTGCTTTTGAGGCGGATTCTAGGGGAAAGGCTCTGGTTGTGACGACCCGACCCGTCGTCTCATGAGTTACCGCTCCGTTTCCCCCATTT